GAAAAAAAAAGAAAAGAAAGGAAAAGGAAAAAAGAAAGACATATAAAAAGAAACTATAAAGAAAAATGGAATTGATTGAATAAGATGGACAAAAGGAGAAACAAGTAAATAAAAAATAGGTGGATGTAACGGGATGAATAAACGAATGAATAGATGAATGAACGGACGACTAAATGTAGAAGTAAAAGAAAAATTCATAAGAGTATGTATAACAATTAGTTGTTGGTTGACTGATAACTCCACTGTCAATTTTGAAAATATCTTTTAAAACCGGTCAGGATAAAATCCTAAATGAATGTATTCTCTTTCAGACGACGTCGTTGGAACAGCTTTAACAAAAAASGCGGCAGATCCAAGCCTGTACTACACAAGGGATATACGATGGCTCGCCACATCTAGAAAACAACCAAACAAGACCTACAAAGTGCGCAAAAAAATTCTCGTYGTCCTGCGCAACCCTCCTAACGAACGATTCAAAGTATCGCACGTTTTGTGCAAATTTCTGGACGGTTACCGGCTTCCTTATGAAGTATCTCGTGTGGATGAGAAATCATTCCTCGATTTAAAAAACGCACTTCGTAGTAACGTCTATAGTGCTAAATACGCTCTCGTTATATTCGTGGATATTAGAACTTACGTTGACCTTAAAGAAAATGCGAAAGATATATTGAATTCGTACTCAAGAAAATTTAACACAGGCATTTTATTTTTTACTACGAACTATGTTGGATATGTTAGAGAGTTTCAGCTTCATGTTCGAAAACCAGCCAAGGAAAAAGGACCACTTTTCATTCAAGTTAATGGTAGTTCGGATTTGTTGAGGWTTACAAAAGATGGTGGACGCGCTGAGAAGCCTCGAGTGCCCAAGGGACTTGGTACACGTTGGATGCTTYTGAGTTTTGATCCTATTCGGACCCCTCTTGAGGTCGTATCGTACGTACTGCCAGGTGAATCCAATACGAAGAACAGTCGAAGGAGTATAGGTAGACCGGAGTTCAACCGAGCAACTGTAGTTCTAGATAATGGAAATCTTGATGGAGTAAAGAGAGTGTTTTTTTCAGGAGGTTTCCCTTTTTTTCTTCATACTTTGTTGTTGCTGGATGCAATGGATTATTTATCGCCGACGCCTCTGACGTTCTCATTGGACCGATATTTACAAATAGACGTTGATGATGTTTTCATTGGAAGCACTGGGTTGAGGCTGCACCGTGAAGATGTGATGGTGAGTTGGGAACCACATCACGTGTACCCACCTGTCAATCATTTGACACATGCCCAATTCTTGTCATTGCCATAAGTGGCATGAAAAAGTATTCATATATTTCAGTACATATTGCTAGTTTTCAATCATTCCCAAGGGGATGAAATAACAATGTTGGATGATATTATAAAAGAGAATAATGACGAATCTTTTGTTTCATTCATCAAAGATGGTGATTGTAAAAACTATCAATTTGGGATAAGATTCTCCGCCCTACCCTTACGTTTGACTTAAACAAAAACGACTAAAATTTTTTTTTTTTTTTTTTTTTTTTTTTTTTTTTTGTGAAAGATAAGAGGTCTTCTTTTTATTCTTTCGTATTTTAATTTTTTTATTTGGAAATGATTACAAATTGCTGTTTTGCACCTCGTATCTCGGCACCGAAATTTCATTCATTCKTGCGGGATTCCTGTGGATAAGGCGGGAAACTTTAAACCTGAATCGCAAACGCGTGTGAATTGGCGGKAAAAATGGTACATTGTTACCACCTCATTACCTTTTGCCGAGAAAGGTTTTGAACGCTTTCGAGTGCTACAGGAAAACATTTACAGCACTGAAATGTTTACAATGACATTGAAATTYCTATAACAAAAGTGTAAATAAACAAGTTGAAGTTGAAGTTGAAACATTGATATCTGTTTATTAATTATGAGTAATTTTGGTTTTATATACTAGGATATGTTGTCTGTCCAAGGAGAACTATCACAGAAGATTCCAGGATTTAAAYTTAACTTGGGGTATTCTGGCAAAGGCTACAAGAGAGGCAATGCSGAAGAGGATGATGGCGATGAAGCAGTTCTGGAATATGCGCACAGGTTTACTTGGTTTGGTCATTTGTACGACCACGAACAGGCTCACAGGCTCTCTCTACAGGATCTCATTGGATCCATGAAAAGGAATAAGAAATTTGCCGAGGTAATTGTCATTGTAGCTGGTAAAGAGATTCATTCAGTTGATTAATACTATCTGGTTGATAGCACATGATGGTGGCCAGTGTTTGCTTGTCATTGTAGGCTGGTAATGAGATTCATGAGATTCATTCAGCTAATTGATACCAAGCAATAGAATACTCTCTGGTTGATAGCACATGACGGGCAGTGTTTGCCTGTCATTGTAGGCTGGAAATGAGATTCACGAGATCCATTCATCTGATTGATACCAAGCAATAGAATACTCTCTTGTTGATAGCACATGACGGGCAATGTTTGCCTGTCATTGTAGGCTGGTAATGAGATTCATGAGATTCATGAGATTCATTCAGCTGATTGATACCAGGCAATAGAATACTCTCTGGTTGATAGCACATGACGGGCAGTGTTTGACAACTAATTCTTCCATAACAAAAAGAATTCGTTTTTGCATACAATTGATGTCACATCTAAGAGATCTTCTAAGCTATGTTGTCGATTCTCAGTGATAAATTTTCATAATCAATTTAATTAATTTTAAGGAATATGGAATAWCGCTGAACACTTCATACGCTGTAGCACCCCACCATTCGGGTGTCTACCCGGTACATGAACCCCTGTATACGGCGTGGAAAGAGATCGATAGCATAACCGTGACATCAACTGAGGAATACCCGCATCTCAAACCAGCCTGGCTTAGAAGAGGATTCATATACAGAGGCATWAAGGYAAGAAGAATTATGGTACTTATAAATATCCTTGTTCACAGTACCATCTCACCAGGTGATACGAGAGAAAATGTTAGGTAATCAGAATYGAGAAAATTTGCTTAACTGATGTGTCACTTTTCCTCTTGAAATTGTGGATATCCAGGTCACCAAATGAAAAAATRTAAACTTTCTAAGAGGTTGATAACGTGACACAATGACTTAYGAGTTTTATATTTTTATTGCAATAATGGACAGGTTTTTCGCTGTTCAATTTTCACAGGCCTTACGACACCTCAGTTTTGCAGTGACGTCATTTGTACGTCACTATTTCAGATCACCGGACAGAGCTGTTCTGTTCTGAGAAGGTACTGGGAACGATCAAGTGCCCATTGGCGRCATATCAGTTTTATTGGATAATTCTAATCACCTTCGTATTTCGTCGTTAAGTCGTTGATTTTGAAGTTCCGATATTTTGGATATCTTTGGTTTCCGATATTTATTTTTAAAAAAACAAGCAAGCAAAGCCCACCACTTTGTTGAATACCACAGTAAATACCTTGTTTATTTACCTTGATATTTAGATATCGAGAGATATCTCGAAAATAGGAAATAGGTCATTACTACACGGACGTATGTATCGCGATCATTCACCTCAATAACCGGCCACTGGAGGACTTGTCTAGCAATCTTGCTCCTTTTAAAACCGCCGATACACGATGTAATTATAATTTTTTACTCATGCGCTGGCAACGTTGTCTAACTCTATTCCTAGCAAACGCAGCGAATTTCTTTCTTTCTTTCTTT